CTTGCAAAAGACAGGTTCTGGGAAGTACCACAGTTCTTGATGTGAACCTCTTTGTGTTGTTTTGGACATCTTCAAATGATGGTTAGCGCTGTTTGGGGTTGAGTGAACCCAAACATTGTAAGCAATGTTTGGTTCATGCTAAAGGTTGCATTTCCTGTAACTGAACAGATAATTGATAATATGATTAGACAAAAAATTGTGAAAATGAAAATAAGACCAAGCCATTTTGGGAATGATAGGAAAACAATAGATATATTGTTGTCTTATCAGTTTTAATGAAAGTCATGTTTTGTGTGAAATGAGATGACAAAGCTAATTGGTGTATGGGTGTAGTAGTCTGTGAGTGGGCACATGATATCAACACCAGAACAAAATCTGGACATTATCGTTCAATATAAATTGTTCTATAATAATAACTGAGAAAATTGACTGGATGAATACTGCCGGAATAAGCATCAACTGCGTTTAAGCTAATACAACATTATCTTTTAGGTATAAAATTGTACAACATGTCAACTTCATTGCATTGCTGCACCCTGGAGTGAACGATCCAGAAACCAGAACAGTCTACCAAGAAACNTGAGTCGATCTTTTAATTGTTTGTTAATTAGATACATTGTCTCAAAGTTGGTTTTTTGTGCCTTACTAGATTCCAGTTATATATTGAAAATGGCCTTGGATGATAAATTTCTTAATAACCCAGACTGGCAATTGTGCGAGGAAAAGAGGAGAGAAACACTCGGTTATGATATTCTTTAGAACGGCTGGACGTCTTCGCTGGCAGGCATTGAGACGATCTCCCACTCGGTTTTGGAGAAGTATTTCGAGCTTACTCCCGATGAAAAGTATGTAAAGGAAGTTTAGGCTTTCTTGAAGACAAAAAAGGTTGAAACGTTTAGGAAAACCATGCGAGTGAACCTTTTGCTCAACCACAACAACATATGTTTGTTATTGAAGGCTACACACGGCCCGCTACGAAACAAGGTAAAAGTGTTTGATCTGGTGAGGGGCTTTATGCGTGTTCAATCATTTTCGATAAGACATCTTGAAAAAGGCTGGCTGCAATAGACCACTGGTAGGCTGCTGGGAAACGAGGATTTTGCAAGCATGTTGCTGCTTTTGCGTTCAAACTGGTGGAAGCCGCTATGTCATGTGGTTTTGAGCTTACCAAGGCAATCAGCTGCACACAGGTGGTTTATAAGAGCATCGCAAGATCGAGAGAAAGAGCTCATGAAAAGAATTCCACTTCAAGAAATTGTGTTTGAAAAGCATCTTCTGCAGCGAGACAAAAGGGGAGGGAGAAAACGTAACTCGCCAGTGGAGGTGAGCTGTGGTTACAATTGAAGACCGAACGGAGAGACGTCAGTTGATAATGAACGAGTAACCAAGCTGTGTGATTACTTAGCTTCATCAAAGTTGTATCTGAAATATTAAGACTTAAATCTGTCCAAGACAAACAAAGTTTTTCTGTAGATAAGAGTTGTGTTTCCATTCGTGACTCAATGCAATTGTGTCAAAATAAAGAAGTTCTGAGTGGTTCAGTGAGAGAATTGGAAAGAT